TTTTACTATTTGAGGAGAGAAAAAAAGGAAAATTATCAATCAATGACCACCAAAGAAAATTTATATCAATCAATGATTACTTGTTATTAAAATTTAAATGAATACTTGTTGATTTAAGTTAGTCTTTTATCAATAAGTATATATTTAGGTTTTAACAATAACTTATTTTAAATTAACAACAATCTAATCGACTTTTTTTCATTTGAATTTTAGTAACAACTAATTCTTAATTGATATAAATTTCTTATAGTGGTCCTTCATTATTATTTTCCCCAAAAAAAATAAAACCACTAGACCAGATAAACCCTTAACTAGTCACTTTTTTTAGTTTTGATTGGTTTGATTATACCAATGACCAATTGGCAATTGAACTGGTTGAACCAACTAGTCTAATTTTTAAAATCTTGTTATACAACTAATTTTTTTTTCATTTTTTTCAAATAAAAATGAAGAAAATTTATGCAAAATTTTGTATCATGAGTCAAGAATCCCTAATCACTCCTCTCAAATCCATCCCATAATCAATCCACAATCATTCAACTACAAATCTATAATAATAGCATCAACCACAAATGATATTGAACAAAAATGCATCAATCTGTTGCTTTATTTTTTCCCCTCTTGTTTTTTTTTTGAAAAAAAGAAATGCATTTTCTTATTTTTATTTATTCATATTTTTTTAGAGGGAATGGCACTAAGGGCCCTAAAAAGCAAGAATTTTGCAAATAAGGCATAGTAAAATATGAAATTATTCTGAGGGCCTAAAGGCCTCATTTGCAATTATGTTTTCTTATGAAATGACCAATTTGTCCCTCCCATAACTAACTTCTAAATGACAATTTCTTCTTCTTCCCTTCTTCTTCCTCCGTCTTCCTTCTCTCTCTTCCTCTTTTAACACTAATGCAATAACCAAATTTATCTTCCTCCCCATCATACTTCTCTATTCCCTCTCTTCTTCTTCCTCCTTCTTCCTTCTTTCTCTCATTTGAAGCTTTTTTGTTTAATAGGTATGAGTAAGCGATCCACTTTTATCCAGATGGCTGTGGAGAAGACAATCAACCATTCACCCGATTACATTCCTCTCACGCTAATCAGCTTCTTGGAATGATCTGTCATAGTATGGAAAGAATAGATCAAGCTACTGCATTTGTCATTATCAATTTTATTTTGTCAAAAAAGGATATAGAGAGAGTTTGAGCCATATCAATTTTATCTAGACATAATGTACATGTTCATATTCATTTAATGAAAACAAGTTGTTATTTATAGACTTTTTGTTATTTTCGATACATATTTTTCTATAGCTAATATACATGTTCTAGTATAAATGTTATTTATCAAATTTATGTTGTTATTTATGGGGTTTATGTTGTGCAAAATTTGCAATTAACTTGTGCAGATATTTATGCATATCATATCGACAAATCTTATATTGTAAATATATAGAGATTGTGTTGTTAGCAAATAGATACTTTCATATTATATACAAACTTTTTGTTCTTCATAAACTTGAGAAATTTTTTCAAATGTTCAGTTTAATCACACAAATCATGTGAAATAGATGGATATTGTATTATTAATAAATGAACCTTATCATGTTATATATAGACTTTTTATTGTTTATAAACTTAAGAAACTTTTTGTTAAGCCTAGACAACTGATAAACTAAACACATATGGACTTTTAGTTTAGAATATATGAGGATTGTGTTATGCATAGTGGATATTGTGTTATACATTATTTGCCTAACTTGTATATTTTATTAAACTTAACCTACTAATAAACTAGACATGCATGGACTTTCACTTGAGAATATATAAACATTGTATTGTGCATAGTAGATATTGTATTGTACATTATCTGCGTAACTTGTATATTTTGTTATGTCTACTCTACTGATAAACTAGACATGCATGGACTTTCATTTGAGAATATGTGAAGATTGTGCTGTGCATAGTGGATATTCTATTGTACAATGTCTACCTAACTTATATATTTTGTTAAGCCTAACCTACTGATAAACTAGACACGTATGGACTTTCAGTTGAGAATATATAAATATTGGGTTGTGTATAGTGGATATTATGTTGTACATTGTCTGTTTAACTTATACATTTTGTTAAGCCTATCCTATTAATAAACTAAACACGCATAGACTTTCATTTCGAGTATTTCACTAGTCTAGAGAAAAATTATTTTGTTTCTTCCAGTATAGTGGTGAATTTGTGAGGAGTGTTGATAGTAGTATGAAGTATGAGGGTGGAAATGTAATTACTAGAATCATAACAAAAGGAATGAAATATACAAAGCTAAGATCATTTATATAATTAAAAGTTTGCCATGGTGATAATGAGAGTGACATAAAGTTCACAGTTGAGATTGATTCAAGCGCATTCATAGATGTTCTTAATGACGTTAGAGTGGAACAATTGTTTAAATACAATAAAAGAACTGCTCATGTATTTGTCCTTCAATTCTTGGGTTGTCAAGGAAAGAAAATATAATATTGCTGTTTTTATGTATGAGTATAGGGAGAAATTAACAAAGAAGCTACACAACAGCAAAGTGGCATTGGAAAAATGGACAAATGGAGTTAGATCAAATGTGAAGACCAAGCTAAAGGAAAATGTGTTAAGAAGTGATACATCACAAGCAAATTTTTACGCGCTAAACACTGTTAGGGTGAAAACATTAAATGGAGATGTGCGAGAAAATCTTGAATTATGTGAATGCCTTTGCTTGGCGTGGCAGATGTCTAGACTACCATGTCCTCATGTATGTACTACCATAAAGCTTTCACATGGCAATATATATATCGATATGTTGAGGAATGATATCATTTAACTTGATAAGAAAAAATATATGGTAGTAATATGATCCCATTTGAGACTTTTGACATTCCAAAGCTTGATACATCAACATTGACAAATAACTTCTCACAAACTTTCTTGCAACTGCCTTTAACCAGCCGTCCTCTCGGGAGGTCACAAACAAGGAGGATAGATTTTTAATTCCAAGATAAGAAGATTTATTATTGTTCATGATGTGAGGAGGTTGGACATAGTCGTAAGAAATGTAAAAATTCTAACTTAGCATGAGATAGTCACATTGTACTTTTTTGGTGTATATAGGCAATTATAATAATGTATATGGAAGCATTCCCAATTAATATTTTTTTTCTGTATATAGAGAAGCAACTATTAAATGTTTTGGATATGATGGCTAACTTTTTGTATACATTAGACTTAAAATATCATGTCAAATTTCATATGGGTACTTGTTTTAGTACTTAGGCTAGTACCTACATGAAATTCTTATATGATATAATTGTCCTTATTATTATTGAAAATGCATGGACTTTATGTTGAGCATTTGTGGATATCATCTTGTGTATAGTAGATATTGTGTCATGTATAGTCTGCCTAACTTGTCATTTTTGTTCAGGCCAGGTTAGTGAAATACTCAAAATGAAAGTCTATGCATATCTAGTTTATCAATAGGACAGGCTTAATAAAATATATAAGTTAAACAGACAATGTACAATACAATATCCATTATGCACAACACAATATTCATATATTCTCAACTGAAAGTCTATGCATGTTTAGTTTATTAGTAGAGTAGGCTTAACAAAATGTACAAGTTAGGAAAATAATGTACAACACAATATCCATTATGTACAACACAATCTTCACATATTCTTAAATGAAAGTCTATGCGTGTCTAGTTTATCGGTAGACTAGGCTTAACAAAATGTACAAGTTATGCAAATAATGTATAACACAATATCTACTATGTATAATACAACGTTCATATATTCTCAAGTGAAAGTCCATACGTGTTTAGTTTATTAGTAGGCTAGGTTTAATAAAATATACAAGTTAGGCAAACAATGTATAATATAATATTCACTATGCATAACACAATCTTTATATATTTTAAACTGAAAATCCATGTGTGACCAGTTTATCAGTTGGCTAGACTTAACAAAAAATTTCTTAAATTTATGAACAATAAGAATTCTGTATATAACATGACAAGGTTTATTTATTAACAACACAATATCCACCTATTTCACATAATTTGTTGATTAAACTAAACATTTGAAAAAGTTTCTCAAGTTTGTGAAGAATAAAAAGTCCGTATATAATATAAAAGTATTTATTTGCTAACAACACAATGTCCATATATTTACAACACAAGGTTTGCTGATATGATACATATAAATATCTGCACAAGTTAATTGCAAAGTTTGCACAACATAAATTCCATAAATAACAACATAAATTTCATAAATAACATTTATACTAAAACATGTATATCAGCTGTAGAAAAATATGTATCAGAAATAACAAAAAATTTATAAATAACCACTTGTTTTTATTAAATGAATGTGAACACGAACATTATGACTAGATAAAACTGATATGGCTCAGACTCTCTCTATATCCTTTTTTGACAAAATAAAATTGATAATGGCATATGCAACAGCTTAATCCATTCTTTCCACATTATGGCAGATTGTTCCAAGAAGTTGATTGGCGTGAGAGGAATGTAATCGGGTGAATGCCTGATCATCTTCTCTATAGTAATTTGGATAAAAGTGGATTGCCTTCTCATACCTGTTTGAACAAAAAAGCTTCAAATGAGAGAAAAAAGGAAGAAAGAGGAAGAAGAAGAGAGGGAGGGAATAGAGAAGCATGTTGGGAATGAAGATGAACTTGGTTATTGTATCAGTGTTGAAAGAGGAAGAGGGAAGAAGATGAAATTGTCGTTCAGCAGCTGGTTATGAGAGGGACAAATTGATCATTTCATCAAAAAAATATAATTACAAATGAGGTCTTTAGGTCCTTACAATAATTACAGATTTCATTAGGCCTTTTGTATAAAATTTTTGCTTTTTAAAATCTTCAGTGCCATTCTCCCTATTTTTTACCAGCATTTAACAATTATTTAGTGTTTATTTTATTGATGGTTTAGTTTGACTGGCTTCGCTCACACAAACATAAAAGTTTCACGCATTGTTTTCCCCGAGCAGCGAAAAGGAGATTCCACCATGGAAGGAGAGTCGCAGGAGATCCTACTGAAAACGATGAAGAATAATGGGATTGTGATCCCATCGAGTGCATCGTCCGTTGGAGAACTCACTCCTAGTAGTTTTGTCTCGATCTGCGCTCAGTGTCTGAACTCGATTGATGATTCGGCTTCAATTCCCATTTCTCTGCCTTTGGAACCAGAATCAGAGCGCGTCAGGATCTGTACGGATATTGCATCGGCCGTTAGGAGTCTGGGTTACGCCGGAGATATCAGCTTCCACAAGGTACGTGACTGGGATAGCGTGTAAGTTCTGAATTTGTTCTCAGTTGTTTTTGGGGATTGTTGTTTCAGTCCTGAGAAAAAGAAATCGAGTAGGAAGACTTTGAATTGTAAATTGAATTGAGGGAAAGTGATGGAAGTCATAGGTTTTATCTTTGCTAGATGAGATAATAATCCTCGCTATATGTTACGAAACCAACAATGTGCAAGTAATTGTTTATATGGTATCTTTATGTCCTTGTTTATTTCAGTTGTCTTCTTTTTTAGGAATTTTTATTGGCAATTTAGGTTGTTATTTGAGGGGCAGTCCATCTTCGATTCTATTTATCCTGCTTTGTTTTGCTATAACATGCTTCATAAGAATTTTTAGAATCCAAATCTGAAAACGATCTTTAACATACAAAATTAGGCTGTGCAGTTGCTCTTTTGGTGAATCCATCTGGGTTAACTTAATTTTGCGTTGTCTGTAGAACTTGGCCACCAAATACCTTTTTCTCATTATTATAAAACAAATGTAAATGCATTGGACACTTATGTTATGATAGGACAATTATTAGAAATGTCTTCACAGTCATTTCTGATGATATGGGCTTCTGGTTTGCTTGATCTATGTCACTTGCAATTATGCCTCTGGTCCTTCTGCCTCTGTGATATAGGAACATAAAGTCCCTTTTTATCGGCGGCATGCTAGTTCTATAATAGATGTGATGCTTGTTAATTGTTACTAATTTGGCGTGTCTGCTCCTTTTTTTTTTTTCGGTACAGTTTGTTATTCTTATGTAGTTATGTTCTGGATTTATGCTTAAAAACAGAATGTATATGTTGCTTACGGCAGTTCCTGTACCCATCTGAAGAGGACCTGTATAATCTGATAAGATTCTTGGCAAAGAGGATTTCTGAGTCTTCTGAAACAGGAAGAATTTCTGACACTAAAAACATCAGCAAACCAGGAGAATATAACTTGAGAAGCTCTTTGGAAGGATCAACTAAAAGGCCAGATGATGAAGGGGCAGCTTTTGATTCTTCTAATCCTGTAACCAAATTAAATGATCTTAGATTGGAGATGGATACACCTGAAACACTGAGCACTGAGGCTGACTTATCTATCCACCTGGATGACCAAACTTCTCATGGATCAAATGAAGCTGCTAATCCATCCAGCTCCAGCATTGAAGATTTTAGGAAGGATGAATTGACTTGTACATCAAATGAAAAGGATTCGAGCAGAGGACTAGTTGCTACTATAACAGATGCAGTTGGAAATGAAGAAACGGATGCTTATATTGGCAGTAATATGCCAGGGTTAAAACAGGAGGTAATGCTCATATTGGTAATAATATGCCAGAGTTAAAACAAGAGGTCTCTTTACCTGAAGATATAATGTGATAGACTTATCTTAAGCAAATGTCTCATTGAACAGGAGGATTGGGATAATTTGGTTCTCTTTCTTATGGATAACAGAAGAATTTTCATATCCAAATAATAGGTCTTATATTGTTTTATTACACATACGCAATCGGATCTATATTTCTGATGATTTCTTCTATTCTTGCTTATGTATTTATCAGACAAGAATTGAATATGAGAAAGTACAAAATCAAGACAAAGCAATGATTGATGATCTGATTATTGCAATGACTTCAGAGGTAGAGCATCTTGATCAAGAATTGGATCTGACAACATCTGCAGCTGAAATGGCATTCAATAGCCAACATTCTGTTGATTCCTACCTTGACCAGCTCAATGAACGACTACAATCTAAAAGGAATTCCCTTTTGAAGTTAGAGTCAGAGTGGTAGGTCTTCATATGTAATTGTCTAAACTGAACTTACTGCATTTTGTATGAAAGTCAGTAGTTCCAGGTTCATATCCCTTCGGAATGACTGATATAAATTGCACATTTGAAAAAAAAAATGATATTTTATTTGGTTTCTGGAAGATGGACATTTCCTTTCCTGCAATTAAAAGGAAAGAGAGAATATTCTTACTGGCTTTAATATATGTCTCAGGGATGCTATTAGAAAACCTTTGGAAGAGAAAAGGAGACGTCTCCATGAATCTCTATTTTCAAACATTCCAGAAGCACAGGAAATGCTCCAAAAGTTGAGGGAAGTTGAGCAGGAGCAGCAGTTCGTTTTGTCTGAAAGTAAAAAGAGGTATACTTCTATGAACAGTTCATTCTACTTTTTACCTTCTAACTGTAATGAATTTTCCAGGAAAGCTAGCAAGAATGGTTTAGAAAACTATATCAAATGGGTTAGCTGAATTTCTACTTGCTAGAAGTTTATGAAACTGCTGTCTGTTAAAATATATAATTCACAATGTATTGAAGTTTGGTTCGTAAGTTTATAAGTCTTAATTGTTGTGTGGTTTCCTCTTATCTATCATCTTAATTATGATGAATTAATTATGAATCTGATTCTTTAATTTCTAGAAAGGGAGTGTCAACTACACTGGATTTATCTAATACTCCCTCCAGTCCAAATTATTGGTATTTTTTAGGAAAAATATGCATATCAATAAAGTCCTCATTCTCATAAAAATATAGATTGTTTTTCCTTTTTACCTTTATTCTCAATTACCAATATATTTCATGATGAGTGAGAGATAACTTTATACAAGGATCCAGGTTAATAAACATAAGGGATAAAATGAGATTTTTTTTTTTTAAAGCATATACTAAGTTACTTATATTTTGAACTAAAATTAGTTGAGGGAAAATGTTTATATTTTGGACCCAAGGGAGTATAATTTACCGGATGGAGAAAACTTTCAACTGCTTTCAGTCTCTTTTCTTCGGATTGCTTTGAGCAGTGTGACTGTATTGACAAAATCACATTCACTAAGAACATACTGTTGCCTTGTCTTCTTGACAGAGACGAAGAATATTCAAAACTTTCTGTAGATCTTGAGAAGCAGCCAAAAGTGGCGTCAAGGAAATCCTATGTTGAACGAATTAAGGAGATCACAAAAAATAGTGGCAAACAAGATGCTGATATTGAGCGGATCTTGAAAGAAACTAGGGAGGTTCAATTAGAGAGTAATTCTATCCAAGAAAGCTTGCATCGAACATTTGCTGTTGCAGACGAAATTATATTTAGGTATGCACGTTTCATTGTTGCCAGCACAACCACACACATGTGCAGTAACAAATACACAGAATGAAGAATTCAAAAGCATAGTAATACTCTTCTGATCCTATTTATGGGACAAAGCATGAGAGTGTTTGTTTTAATCCTATTTATAGAACATTTCAATACTTATTGTGTCTATTTTTACCCTTTGCCCTTATTAAATATTGAAAAGGTTATTAAATGTAGAGTGTTTTGTTTCTAAGTATGTATATTTAATAATAATAAAGTTGGAACTTTGTTGAATTTTTAGACTGAGTTAATAATGTTTAAGGCTTTTCTTAATTTTGGTGAAATTGCTGGAATTGATTTATAAATAGATGAGGAGAAAGATGCAAGATCATCCAAGGAGATTTTTAGTTGTGAATGCTATTGGTATATCATTTTGAATGACTTTGTATCTCACCAACGATAATCAATGAGCATGTTTCTTTTTGCAGGGAAGCAAAGAAAGACCCTGCGGGCCGGCAAGTTTATAGGCTCCTCACTAGCATCCATGAATGTTTTGAGCAGATATCTGAGAAAATTCTGGCAACTGATAGAATTCGAAGAGAAGTAGCTGAGTATGAAATGAAACTCGCAGCCATGGCTTCGAGAAATTTAGATGCGGACAAAAAACACGCTGATCTTGATGCTGTTACTGGGGAAAACGAATACCTGAGGCAACCGTTAGAATAAATGATTTTGTTCAGGAGTTCTTTCAAATTTCAAGTATAATATTGATCGAATGTTTTGAGAGAGGCCTTCGTGTTATGTTGGTTGGTTTTGTCCATTAGTGAGTTTCTATATTCTAGATGTAAGTTCTGTATGGCAATATTATTTCTGTTCCATATTGATTACTATATATATATATATATATATTAGTAAAATCGTTTAGTTAATCTCTAAATGTTGAATTTAAATAAAATCAATAGGCCATTGATACCGGCAACCCTACCTGAGAGAATCATATAGAAACACTGTTGTATAAAAAAAAAACTTAGAAACACCAAATAACCTAAATCAGTCCTATCTAGGGCAGTTTGAGCCTTGGTGGACGATAAACCTAAGTACCCCTACTTGTCCCTTTCCAACTTGAACGGTCCCCATTAGCCTCAAGCTCAAAGTAAAACGCCAAAATAACCTTTTGGCCATGCTATGTGATAACTTTAAGGGCAAGATTTAGATGATATACTTAATATATTTTTATTCAATTAAATTGAAACATGTAAATTTAAATATACTAATAATATTAATAATAAAAATTTATTATTGAATAAATAATTTATAAAATATATACATGTTGTAATTTAATTGAAAATAAACATTTTAAATATATAAAGTTAAATATATAAATTTTTCCTAACTTTAATGCTTGGTTTGGATCAAGAGAAAAATAAGGGGCAAGGAAAATTAGGAGGGAAAATTGTTAAAAATGAAAAAAAAAATTAGTATTTTGACAATTTTCCCTCATAGTTTTTCCCCAAATTTTCTCCCCATCCAAATTAAGAGCAAGGAACTAAAAAAAACCTCTATACAAGCCCATGAATTCTTAATCCATGACCTAAAAAAAAAAAATCTCATTAGCCTAAAGGAAATGAATTACACAATGTTGCTGACTTGGTTGACCTTAATGAAGCAGCAACTTGTGATAGTTTCATTCATAATGTAAATGAAAATTGAATAGAAGATTTCTTCAAATATTTTAGATATCATCTTATCACTATGGTCGAACTTTGAGTCAGTTTAGAAGATCTCAACTTATGTTGGAAACAAAATTTATCCTAAGTCAATCTTTCACTGTGAGCTATTAATCTCATTTTTTTATGAGCATGTCCAGAATCATCCTCTTATAATCTGATGAAGAACATTAGCAATATTATCCAGTGGGATTAGATCATTATACTAGATTATATTTTGATAAAAGCAAATCGATATGCAGACAAATTTGCTGGCCAATTGTCTCATGACAATTTTCATGTTAACATTTTTAGCAACCCTCCTTTAAGGTGTAGGGATCTTCTTCTTGACTAGACCTACTTTCGTCCTTTCCTGCATAATTTTGACTGTGGCCCTTTTTTTTTTTAAAAAAAAAAAAAGAATTACCCAACCCTAGGTAAACGGACCTATGTAGAAGAAGCTTCATGTTCCACATTTTTGCCACATACAAACATGACCTAAGGCCCGCATTGCTAAAATAATCATCCGGAAAGCACCAAGTCACAATCACGGTAGTATAGGAGGAGGAAGAGTTATAGAAGGACAAGGTTTGATGTAAAAATAAAATAAATTTAAAATGCAAAACAACAGGAATCCTTCTTTGATACAAAATGCCTCAGTTTCATCTTTCAAAGCAAGCATGATGTAAAATTCCACATAAAATACTTAAGCCAAAATATTTCATTAAAAAAAAGGGCCAAAATAGCAAAAAGAATCCACAATGCGTTTTTCTTTTTCCCCGATCCACAAATCACAAAATTGGTAATTACACAGTATATTTCTGCCAAGTTTAAATGTTCGCCTGCTTATTTTCATTTGTGCATAATATCTTCAGGCTAAGATATGCTTAACCTCTCATAAGTTTGGGTTGGATGCAAATTAACTCTAAACTTTAACTCGTTATAATTCAGTCCTTGAAATTTTGACTCGATTATACATCAGTCTTTGAACTTTGCCTTTTACAATTTAATCATTGAAGTTTTAACCTCTTAAATATTGATTTTTATATTTTAAAAAATTTAATTATAAAGATTAAAAATATTTTAAAATTTTTAATATTTATAATATTTATAAAAAATTAAAAGGGTTTAATAATTTAAAATATTAGTAATAAATTTTAAAATATTTTTAATATTTATAATTTTATTTTTTTAAAATATACGGATCGATATTTAATAAGTTGAAACTTCAGAAACTAAATTGCAAGAGGCAAAGTTCAGAGACTAATTTACAATCTAGTCAAAATTTTATGAATTAAGTTATAATAAATCAAAGTTCAGGAATTGAGTTATAACTAAGTTAAAACTATAATGACCAAAAGACTAATTTTCTCTAATAATTTTTTTTAAAAAATAATATTTTACATAATTAAATATAATAATTACATTAGAACTAAAATTATAAAAATACAAGTAAATTTTTCATCATTTTTATTTTTAAAAAATTATATTAAACATGTTAATATAGTGATTTATATAAGTATGCTCTTCATATCTTATTTTGATTACTAAAATATTACATATTTAATAAAATTTTGAGCTTAAATATTTTTTATTTTTATTTAGAGGGTAAAAAAATATTAAGAGTTGGGGTGTAAAGTTGCAAAATTTATATATCTTACTTATAATTTTTCTTAAAAGGAGAGGGTGTATTTGTCTACCCTTATTACAATATGAATCTGCCGCTATAAATGTATGCATGACCTAAAGGTCAATATTTCATTCAATAAATATATTTGCAAACACCTTGAGGTTATCCCTTTTCTATAGATCAGATCATACCTTCCTATTATTAAAAAAAAAAAAACAGGAATTGATGCAGTGCCTGAAGGTGGATTAGTGGGTTTGATGTGGATGGCTGAACATGCCAATACCATTATGGGGTCATATGATATTAAAAAAAAAAAGATAACTAGATTAGTCATCTAAATCAATTTTTTTAAAAACCAAACCGGCATCAAATTAAAAAAATTACTAGGTCTCAATGTTTGTTCAAGTGTTCAACTAATTAAGTTGATAGTCATATCAGAGACATAACCACAGATTAGAGTTAGTAAGTATAATTAGCAGCATAATAACACCACAATACATATGAAGCTTTAAGTAAGATAACATCACATAATTGCAAATGACTTGATGTTGTGCTCCATTAGTTTATTTTAATTGTGTAACTCAATGATTTTGTTATTGTTATTATTATAAGGTTGCCTTTACTAATCTACATTTAACACCAAAAATCATGGTAATCACAAGTTAACCCAAATGAATTACCAAACTTGTAAAATTTATAATAATGGAATCTCAAGTTTTCAAACTTAAAAAATACTTAAATATCATTTCATAAACTAAAATTAAAGTAAAATATGATTATGCGAAAGTATGAGATACCAAAAAGATTCAAAGAATTTGCAATTAGATTGAAAATAACTTTTCAGCATAACAACATAGTGATTTGTGGTGGCACTCCGCATATGCAACGTAGCACATCTTTCTCTATGCTTTGCATTGTGACACATTGCACAAGTTTGACATCAATTCTACTATTAAATGACATCTCTCAAGGCAAACTTTTAACACGCCCCATATCTTTATCTGATGTTCGATTGAAGTGACCTAAATATCTATAAAAAGCTATCTCCACGCTCTAATTAATGGAATTAGTCTGACTCACATACCACATCTCATTAATAAGTTAGACACTCATTTACAAACTCACTCTTTTTAAATTCAAAAACAGATTAGGTTGTTTAATTTCATTTCTAAGTGCCAAAGCTCACCTAAACCCCTTAGATCACACTCAATAAATTACAGAGGATTTGTGCAATACACCATGACAATTTAATCATACATATAATTCATTTTCAATGCTCAACCCCTTGATCACAAAAATAGAAGGGAGAGCTTATTTATTATGAAAAATGATATTTCTCCTTTACAATCATCCACATCATAAATATAATACTTGCATTAGTATTTTGGCCTTGTTTAGACATCAATATTTAACGTACAACATCATGGGGCCTAAAATACGCCAATTAACTTAAATCATCAATAGTGTAAGTAGTCAAAATAATACAACTCCTAGTTAGAAAATTATCAATAGAAATACACATAATAAAATTTATGAGAGGCTTACAATTATGATTTGACATATCTTAAACCTCTAGTGCTTTCTGTAAAGTCCCACAAAATATCATGGCCTTTACTTACACTTTCCACCACACACTACATTCAAACACTATGTTTATTTTGAGAATACAAGATTTTGACTTGATTTTTAAAATCACTACGAATATACAAACAAAACTGAATAAAAGAGGTTATAGAAGCATAGGCATCATGCCCCTAAAATAAAGATTAAAACAATTATTTTTCTTTAAAATGTGTCATGCATCGTAACATGTGATAGAGAGAGTCACGAATTCTTATTATGTCATGTACCATGGCATGTCACAATACGCTATGGCAAACATATATCAGATTTTGCTACCATGATAGCACAAAACTCATAAGACAAGCTAGCTAACAAAGCAAATTCGGATACAATCCAATAGTCTAATCTCAATTTGGAGACTCTGATACAAAAAGAAACTTTCCTTTCAAAAATAAGAACCTTAAGTGTTTAAATTTCACATCTTATCTCATTAGACCACTTTGGGTCTTGAACTAAGTCTAAAAAAACCAGTTACACTTGATTGGCACATTATATCACATGCAACACCTTAATCATACAATTTGACTTCTCAATGCCACTTATAACATATATGGTCCTATATGAGAAACACACATCCTGTCACACATGTACGTTTGACTTGTTCTACTTTCACACTTATTTAACTTACAAGTATAGGGTTAAGCTTAGCCATATAGTCAGATCTTATACACACATACTTGACTTGTGCAAGTGAGGATAAGCCTCACTATTTAGTCAAGATTCACACACATACCTATTATCACAAGATCACATATACATAATAGTGGAATAAGTTACACCTTTACATTAACAAATCTTACTCATTAATAATCACTTCTAGCTTTTCACGGATACCTACATGTTAGGCACCACAAGCTAGAAAAGTATCACTTTTCACATAATATGAGGCAAGATTTCACAAATAATGAAACATTCTAACTCCACTAAATACCATTAATAAATGGAACACATGGTAATCAAAGGATTAGCT